ACTGCTATCTGCAACAAGGAAGAAAATTTCTTGTATACTGGCAAGAAAATTCAACCTCAACTTTTGACATTGTTGGTCCACAGACATTACTTTTGGAATAACATATATATTCGATTAAAACCAATGAAAGTCTCTTATCGATTATTTTTTTAATATTTCTAATATTTTGAATTCTGGTTGGTAGTGGTAAATAAAACTTCCCATATTTAAGTACTTTTGGCTCAGCCCTTTCAAAGGCGTTTATGTCCTCAGTTCAATTTTTTCTTTTTTTTTTTTTTCATTTTCTCATGTTAGCTTTTAAATGTGCATAAATGAAAAATTGCTGCCCAAATTCACCTCTCTCTCTCTCTCTATATATATATATATATATATATATATATATATATATATATATATATATATATATATATGTAAAATTTCAGATATATGTCTGTAAAAGGACAATATGAATAAAGACAAAAGGAAAACTTATCTTAGCTGACATGCTCATTTCATCCTGTAAGGGATTTTATCATCAGCTAAGATTTCTTTGTGTCTTATATATATATATATATATATATATATATATATATAATATATTACTAGTGCATTATTCAATTTTGTTAATATTTTATTTTTAAATTGTCTGGCAGTTTAAATTGAATGATAATATTTGAATGAATTATTTTACTATTCACACAGCATTAATTAGTCACTCGGATATGAAACTAGCAAAATAAAATAAAGATGATTATAAAACAATTTTCTCATTTAAACACATTTATTATGCAACAATTATCCACATTTTTTCTCTTTCTTTCAACAATACGTATATAAATATTGTTAATGTTCGAGTAGAGAATATTTTATGATTATTGTGTCTACTTGAATAGAAGTAGGGGAAAAGTGGGTACGAAGATTATATAGCGCCATTCTTTAGGGATGACAGACCTGCCAGCTTACATTCAAAATCCTGGCATATACATTGGGAACCCTCTGCATTTGAGGGGCTCTTGGGCCTTGTACATGATGAAAATCATTATAAAAAAAAAAAATTGTATATATAAAAATCCAAGATGTATGTGTATCTGCATACAGGTGAATTCATATGCGTGAGTAGATATAGATGAGTATAGATGTCAATCTATAAGAAGATGTATGATATACACACATGCATAGATTCATAAATAGGGTGATTGAATTTCGTATGTCCGAACTGTAGATTATTCTTACAAAAATACATCATGAAAATGATTCTTTCAAGAGCAGTGAAAGAAAGTTTTGGTTTGAGAAAGTAGAGGAAAAACATTTTGCATGAATGTTTGTAATTCTATTTTTTTTTTATAACTTTCAGAAAAGTCATGAACATAGGAAATATTGCTTCAAAAACTGAACCCCCATCTTTCCATAGTTGCTGTTTTTGACTGATCCACTCTTCAGCCCCTATCAGATGCATTCCATGAAAAGAAAGAAAAAAAATCTTCTGTCAACAAAAATGGCCACATACAAACTAAAATACTAAAAAGCAAGTAGATTAAAATGAGGTTCAATTTTTTTATGTTCAATGGGTAAAAAGGATTTTTCATGATATAAAAATGTATTTTGATGACAAAAAACAACACATATACACTGTTTATTGATTGAATAACATTCATTCAGAAGTTGTTTTTGTTTGCCCAAACCAAAACTTTCTACTTTTAAAAGGAATTCACTTTTTTTGTTTGTCAAGACTAAACTGCAGAAATTTAACATAGAGCTTCCTTACCTCTTTATTGAAGATTAACCTAAAATGTCACATATTTATTATCCTGATACTTATTGAAAAAAAAATTTTCATGATTAATCTATAGAAACTAAAATTGAAGCTATAATTTCTTTGCCTCAATGTTGAATTAACCTATCACTTAATGGCATCTTTCATATAAAAAAAAGCTACAATTTATCATCACACCTTTTTTTTTTTTTTTTTTTAAACTTTGATTGTGTATGTTTATATAAAGTAAAGAAAACTACATACATACATATATATATATATATATATATATATATATATATAACATATGAATGTTTTTGTTTTTTTTTTAAATTTACATGCCTGACACATGGAGGGAGAGTGTCAGAATTTTTTTTTTTTTCAACATGCAATAAACTGGGGTATCTTAATAAATTAGGGTAGGTAGAAAATTATTTAATGGTCAAAATGTTTGAAATTAAACAGGATGGTTTTAATAAACTTGGATGTTTTTCAAACAAGGAAATAAAGCAAGCATGTTCAGAGACCAAGAATCTGAGAAAAACATTAGTGAGAAGAAATGGGGAAAATAAAAGAATAGGATTCAAGGAGACTGATAATGAGAGTTGGAAAATTAAAAAATAAAAATTAAAATAAACATCCCCACTTGTATTGGACACTGCTTTAAAGAAAGAAATGTATTTCCCAGTGTAATGATTATTTTGCTTACTCATTCTGAAAGATGTAAAACATACCATTTTGACATGATGGATTAAATAAAACAAGTTTTACACTGAGAAGAAGGATAATGTTAGAAAAAAAATAATAATATATATATATACACACATACATACATACATATATATATATATATTAATGTATAACAGCAGCCCATTTATTTTATATGAAAAGTATTGAGAAAAGTAGAAAAACACTTTTTCAATCCTCAAATCAGTTTTGTGTTTATTTTTCTCAAGTTTCAAATTGGACCTGGAAATATGAAACCTGAAACAAACTGAAACACATTCCCAAAAGACTTTTTTTTTAATAATTTGTTTCCAAAATTTTGTAATGGCAGCTTTATTTCCTTTAAGTGTTAGTATTCATTCCTCCAGCTCCATTAGAAAAAAAAATCTAATTAGGCTTTGATTTCAAAATATCTTCTCAAATGTGAACACATTTTTAGGAGACACTTTGTGCACGCTTACACATTTTATATGCATAATATAAATTTAACGGTACACACTACACTATATATATATATATATATATATATATATATATATATATATATGGGGGCATTGAAGTCAACACTGAGATATGAAAGCCTGTTTCATGTTAAAACACAATTGCCAGGCCTGACAATTGCAATTAGCATGAAACAGACTGCAGCCTTTGGGTGTTTACTTCAATGTCCACTTTTATATTGAGCATGTTAACACATAAATATAGCATACCTTAAAACTATATTATATATATATATATATATATACATAACTTTATGGAATATATATATATATATATATATATATATATATACGAAATACAGTTAATAAAAATATGCCAAATGTAAAATAGTCATTCTAAATAGAAATTAACAAAAATACTTAAATTAATCCAAACTTTACTGAATTTTAAAAAGAAAATTATTTACCATTTACACTTGGTAATTAGAAAATTATAATTAATTTCCAGCAGGCTTTTATTTTACTGTCAACATAAGTCTAAAAATTAAAAAAAACTCCTTAAACATAACTTTTCTTGTCTACACCATGTTGTCAAGGATTTCCTGCAATAATCAACAAAACTAAAAAAGAAAATTTCCATGACAAATTAACAAATAATCAAATCCAGGAAAGATAAACCCCCAAAGTCAAAGTTCAATTGTGTGTGTGTGTGTTGAGTCAAAAGTAGCAACTAGATTCTTGGAAAGCATGTTAATATTTATCTTGCAGATTCTTAATTTTTTTTAGTTAATTCTAAATTAGATAAACATGTCTTTCATTAAATGTATAGACTGATGTAATTTACACAGTTTAAATAAAACAGGGCATCTATTTGAATAGGTGTATCTACTAAAATATAACCTTAAAATATGAAGAAATAATGTCAGATTAGAAAAAAAAATACATTAATTCCTTATATATAAAAATGAACATTCTGTTTCATGCTTGAATGTAATCTTCAGGCCATGTGTTGTGTTTTAGCTCAACTATTTATATATGATGGTCAATAGTGCATTATAGGTAATAAAGGCTATTGTATTATCCTAATGGTTATTGGGTTGGAGGTAATAGTTACGTTTCAATTTATTCTATGAGCTATTAAGTAAAAATAACTGTTGATCCAAATGCAGTTATTTGTAACTATTTTATAGTGTTGTTAACTTTTTACTTATTATTATTACAACTACTACATTGTGTTTGTGTGTATTTGTAGTTTATTAAATTGTCTATGTATTTATTCAAATTTTTTGTTAATTATATTTTTTCCTTGGGGGTTGGTCATTTTATTTGTTTAGTCATTAAATTGCGTTCAAGCATGAAACAGACTGTCACCATTTGGTGTTGACCTTAATGTCCAATTTTACATTTACATACACTCTATCACTGACTTTTACTCATAAATATAGCATATCTTAAAACTAAATAACATATATATATATATATATATATATATATATATATATATATATATATATATATATGTAAAAATTATTTAATATAAATAAATATATATATGTATAATTATTTATTTATTATAATATCAGAGACTTATTAGAAAGCGCTCAATATCAGAGATATCCAACCAAATATATATATATATATATATATATATATATATATATATACTTTTATGCTATGTTTATGGGATAAAGAGATAGAGCATATGTAAATATAAAAGTGAACATTGAAGTCAACACTCAGGCCTGATAATTGCATCTAGCATGAAACAGTCCATCGCCTCTGAGTGTTGACATCAATGTTCACTTTTATTTATATATATATATGCATCTATATTATTGTATGTATACATAAGCCTTTCTCTAGCAAGCAACTTCAAAGCAGTTTGAAATGGAATGTTTGAAATAAATAAAAACAAAAATAGGGGCCAGCAGATAAAATATATGTCCAGCAGTGGCAATCAGTCAAACATGCCAAAAAAAAAAAAAAAAAATGGAGGAAAAACTAGTATACAACCAGATATACTAGATAAGAGAATTCATATTTATACAAAGTTACTATCCAGGGCAGTGTTTATTGGTATGTCTTGATTAAATGTTTTATCCTCAGTTTGGGAGGAGTGTGCTTATTTTGACTTTGCCATCAAGGGATCCTGTTAAACAGACACGTGTGTCAATGGAAGGTGACCAATCTACAGTTGTCACCAAACCTTTATGGCCCTGCAGTGATAGGACTTTTTCTGCACAACTTTCAGACATGCCTTCACGATGCATCTGAAATGAGAGATAAAATGGGTGTGGCTGAATGAAAAAGCGAGTTTTTAATTTTCTACTATTTTTCTTTGCAAAATACCAAAAACTAATTTCTAACAGATTTAAATCAAAGCCAAATAAAAAAATGTTTCTTCCATCTTCTTTTATAAGAATCCATAAAGAAACATGAAATAATTATGAAATATATGCCTATAGTTACATTGTATTCCTTACAAAAAAAACATTCAGTAATTTACCAACAATTTCCTTGGCTTAACTTAATGAGGGATGCTCCGAAAATAATGCTCTCTACTTTTTTCCACAGAAACATTAGCCTAAAAATTTAAGTCATGTTTTTAAATAGCCTGATCAGATTGAGACTTTCATATGGATGTCATGCATGGCACCAAACTCATTCTAAACTGTATAGAACCACTTTCTCAGGTCAATAGTAAAAAATGGCTTTAAGCGAGTGAAGCGTGTAGGTCTTAGAAAGGATTGGCACTCATCATCATCATCATCAGTGTTTCAATTGTCTCGGGGACCTAAGAGCAAAAGTAACAGACTAGGTCTTCCAGGATGATCTGTTGGCGGTGACTCTCAGGTGTTTCAACATTGTTATGTCCATCGAATCTTTGATGTTTTCTGAGCAGCTTTTGCATTGCCATCCCTGCTTGCATCTGCCTTCAACAGTGCCATGCATGATGATCTTACAGAGATTGTTATGCCATGCAGCATAACTCACAAAGAAATTGTACCAAATAATAGAACTCATGTGACTTGAGGACTTACAACAACAATTAAAATAAGTAACTCAAAGAGAAAATAATAACATAATCAAGATGTTACCATTCCACACTACATCAAACCAAAGTTTAGGAAGGCTGGTAATTAGTGAACTTGAGAAATCTATTTTCCAGAAAGATTTTATAAATTTCAACTGACAGTAATACTGGCTGATCAGTCAATGAGTGCCAAAAGTTTCCTTATAAGGAAACAGCTGATATTCCCATTATAAATATGATCATATACTCTGTGTGTGTATATATATATATATATATATATATATATTGGTAGGGAAAAAGATATTGTGTGACGCATTTCGTCCCTTAGGACTTCATCGGACTAAGTTTCTTATGCTACACATGCACACAAATGACGGATACAGCAAATTTAAAATTAAATTTTTTTTTATTATTATTTAGTCTAGCTGATTTCATTTAGATTCTTTTTTCTTTCCATCATTTTTGTTATTAGCTAACACACATTGTGATAATAGAACATCTGCCAAAAATAGTGAAATGTTGAAGGAGCCAGTGCCTTGATCACAAAGTCATCCACAATAAATTTGCAACTGGCTAGATTAAATAATAAAAAACATATTCAAATATAAACAAAATTTTAAATTTAAAATTCTCAGCATTCCTTATTCGAGCACATGTGTAGTCACACCAACATAAACAAATTTAGTTTGATGAAGTCCTAAGGGATGAAATGTGTCACACAAAAACTTTCTACACTTTGTCATACTTTTTTCCCTAAAATTGTTCTTGATATATAAAAAATGTATATATTGTTATGTCATATATATAGTCTCAGTTCAGTGGACTGGTCATATCTTGAGAATGTCTGATGACAGTATACCCAAGATCTTAATGTACAACCAGTTAGATCAGGGCTACAGGAATGTAGGATGCCCATGGCTAAGATACAAAAACAAGCTGAAAAGCAACTTGTCAGCAGTCAATATACCACATAACACGCTTGAGCACTTAGCTTTGGAGCGGGTAGAATGGAGATCAACGTGTTTTAGTGGACTCAGCAATTTTTAATCTGCTTGTCTGAATCATCTTCAAGAAGCGAGAGCAAGATCTAAAAGGTCAGCCAATCTAACAGTGATCTCATTTCACAATCCTCACACTTGCTCCATATGTGGCCTCCTTTGCAAATCACTAGCGGGTCTTAAATGCCACTTAAGATTATCGCACAAACTTTCATAACTGAATCAATAAGCTGTCAGATCCTCATACATCGAAACCGACGGGAGAGTTCATTTTATTTATATATATATATATATATATATATACACACACACACAAATAATAAGGATAAATGCTAAAGCTCAAAATATAAAATTAAGTTGAGGCGCAATGCCAAAGTCAGCAGAGCCTAAATATAATATAACAATATTATCAATTCTATAATACTACACACACATGAATATGGATCAATAAGTATTAGTTTGGCACAAGGTCACAAGTGAAGAGCAGTCACTGAGAATCTCTGTTAACTTTATAGCAAGGTGCTCTTGTTTATAATCATATTTAAAAGAGGAAATAAAATTCATGCAACAAATAAGTGTTAATTACGAGATTAATGATTATTTTGACTCACCTGATAAATAACGCCATCATTTTTGTCACAGGTAAGCATATATTGACCTTCACTGTCAAAGGCAAATGACTTTCCATGCAGAACTTCCCGTGTTCCCATTGGCCCATTAATTATGATAGGGGAAGTAGCAGTGTGAAAGACAGCAAATTCAGCAAGTTTCTTTCCTGGCTTATGGATGCTCCACTGATAAAACTGAAAGAGAGAAATCAGCTCCAGAAATACAGGGTTTCACTTCAAGTCTAAAATCAAAAGCAAAAATTGCTTTGGAAATCCTACAATTTAAAACTGAAAAACAAATTTTCATTATTCCATATCATTAAGATTATTTCAACTCCAAAGTAATCAAAATCAGCAGAAAGATTTAGAGATTTAAATAAAAAAAGTTTAATGTAACAGCTTTTATTTGCTACATGATTCTGCAAGTTCAAGTCTCAAGTGAAATTACTTCAGTATCTGTCTAAATTTCTGAGATGAGGTATTGTGTACATTATTTACATTATTCAGACTATTGTCCTCATCTTTGTCACCATATTTATTACAACGTTTCGGCTCTTCAGTATCTGTCTATATTTCTGAGATGAGGTATTATGTACACTATTTATATTATTCGGACTATTGTCCTCATCTTAATAATGTAAATAGTGAGTTACTTCATTATTCCTAATTCCAATTCCAAAACTTTCAGGTAAAATAATGCGATTGTTTTGAGAATCTGAAGATACTTTGGAACTTCAAAATGCATTTGGCAAAAGAAGTGTCACGTTTGTTAAGAAGTCTTTTCAAGGAGGCTCTTTGCCTTGAATGTCTATCAGGACTCACATTCACCCCCAAACCTGAAAAACATACCACAGATATACCCATGCCTCATAAGGGAAATTGGGTAGATGGAATTGTTCAAAGGTTGTTGATGGTTGAGCTCACATATAAACTGCATCTAGAGATTATATGCAAAAGAGGTATTGTCAAATATTTTATGTAAAATTCATAGATATGTGTTATCCAATGAAATAATTTGTACTATTATGTATAGTGAGTAAGCATGAAAGCAATTAAGTCCCAATTTTCAATTTCAGATTGATATTTAGTATTTTTTCAGTAATTATAGCAATTTGCAGTGTCAAGAGATTATTTGCAAGAACTAGAATTTAGTATTATGGCTCGTAAAAAAGAACTAACAATGAATGAAAAGAACTATATAATCAAAGAAATTAGCAAAGGAAAGTCTTCACTTCAAATTTCTAAGGATTTGAAAAGGATCATCGAACAATCAAGAAAATATGTCAAATGGGAATTCAATCAAGGAAAAAAAAGTCTCAGGCTGAATTCAGGAATTTAACAAAGCGAGATCTATCACATATCCGAAGAGAATTAATAAGAAACCCAAATGCGTCAAGTGCATTCATATTTGAGGCCGCTGGAGCTCCTATGGTGTCAAGGGAAACAAGGTGTAAAGCATTAAGAAAGTTTGCTGATGTAAAAAATCAAATAAAGAAACCCATTTTAACAAAAAAAACATAAGGAAAGAAGATTGCAGCGGGCAAAAAAATACATGAAAACTGATTTCAATAAAGTGCTTTTTACAGACAAATCAAGGATCACCCTCGATGGGCCCGATGGATGGGCTCGAGGATAGGTTTGCAAGCAACATGACTCAAGAAAATTTTTTAAACGCCAACAAGGTGACGGTGGGATCATGATATGGGCTGGGATAATGAGCTCGTGGGTCCATTTAAACTGAAAGACAGGGTTAAAATGAATTCCAAAAGTTACTATGATTTTCTAGAGCAATATTTCTTTGAATGGCTTGATAACCAGTCTTTAGCCAAGCGTAGATCTATGATCTTTATGCAAGACAACACACCAAGTCATGCATCAAAGTTTACTAAATCCTGGTTGAAAGAAAAGGGATTTGTTGAAGATTCTCTTATGGACTGGCCTTCAAATAGCTGTGACTTGAATTCCATTGAGAACCTGTGGAGCATCCTCAAGAGAAATATTTATTCTAATGGAAGGCAATTCAACAGCAAGTGTGACCTCTGGGAGGCAGTTAAAGTTGCTGCAAACAACTTACCAGCCGCTAAAATTGCAAATCTACCATCAGATGTTGACAATAGGCTGCTAAGAGTTATTGAAAAGAAAGGAGCATTTGTGCAATAAATTTTAGGAGGTTCTTATTATTTTTTGTTAATATATCTTTAATTTTTAAAATGTTTTTTTTATGTTTTTCCTTTAAGAAATTGACGAATTTGTTCTAAAATCTTTTCATATTATTTTTTTACATTAGTTTTACAAGGTATAATAATGTAAAAGTATCAAAATAAATAGTTGCAAATAAACTACTGGCAGTCAAATTAGTCTGTTTTGTTAACTTAGTAAAATTTTTTCCAACCAAAAACAATAGTTTTCTCTATCACTATATATCTAAGTTAATAATATTGAGTAGAATCTAAACAACATCATAATAGGACTTTTAACATTAAAGACACAACTCTTTATACCAATTCATAACTTGCTTATAATCTCTAGACGCAGTTTAAGTCACAGAGTATTTTAGGTGTACTGGCCTTATTCAAAAAAACTATTATGAATTCTCTCCCAAAAACTGTAACTAAGGTCTGTAATAGGCTTTGATTATCCACCTCAGTAGTCAGATGGGCTCATAAACAAGTAGTAGCTGGTTATATATATATATATATATATATATATATAAAAAAAAAAAAGTTGAAAATACAATGGGAGTCTTTAAGTATATTTCTTTACAATAACTTTACCAGTTGTTTCAATTGTATGATTTTTCAAAGTTACATTGAGATGGAGAGATATGTGTCTATGCCATGATATGTCTGACATCTAACTGGAGTTTGAGAATTCCGTTTTATGCAAAAATGTGGCTCAGATTGCTATCTGTTTAAAATGCAATATGATTGGTTGATTATGATCACATGATCAGACAAATTTTTTCAGCAAAAAAAACTGATGATCAGAAAATTTTGTCAAAAATTGGAAGTGTCATGATTCAGGGAGTGTGGCTAATGACAAAGTGTTAAGTAGTTCAAGTGCCAGGAATTCTATTTTATTAGACCTTGATAGCAATCCCCAAAATGTTCAATGTATATGTTGCCAGGTACACAAAAATATGTGTGAGTAGGGATAATGGTTTTTTTGCTTTCATGATAATAATAGTCCATAAGTAAAATGGACAAGGATGTTACATGTGTATGTGGGTGCTTATGTGTGTGCATGGGGGGGGGGGTGATAGTTCATGGCTAATGTGCCTTGTATTTTTGAAAAAACTCTAATGGTGGATGTCAGTTTCAATGTGTCATTTTTATAATTAGAATGTCCAAGAATAGAAATTGGTTTTGACTGTATTCCATTGTGAATTGGATATTATTATGGATGCTGTTAATTAGGGTTTTGAATTCATTTAGTTAGTTGAAGAATAAGGCAGTCATCCAAGTAATGTGTCCAGTTGTCTATCAAATATTTGTGGAAGTTCAAACTGTATTTTAATTTGGATTGTTTATATATCTGGACCTTCAGGTATACCATGACTAAATTAGAGGAGCTCAGAGCAACTTTTGTACCCATTGCAGTCCCCAATATTTATTTGTAAATGTTACCATTAACCTTTATCTATATGTGATTTCATTTGCTGGGCAAAACGTTTATCCTGCCACTGAAGGTAACTAATTCCTGAATTTGAATTTGTTTGAATTTCAGAACTGTGTTGTCATATCCTACTATGGCAACAGAAAACACCTTTGAGTGAAATTAACAAGGATATTGCAATTGAGAGGTCTTGAAAAAGAATGCAGTGGAAAAGGAAGTAATATTAAGAATGCTCAAGGTTAAAAAAACAATTTTGTCAGAGTTGAACCAAGGACATTTCTAAAAATAATATATATTTGCAAATCTTGATATCTTATTACTTATAAGAAATCATGGCTTATGGAATTTACCTTATTATCCAGGCCCATGCTATAACAAGATGTTTCATCAGAGCTGAACTGAAGTGAAAGAACTTCTCCATCATGTGCTGTCCATTTGGCTATTGACCTTTGCTGCTGCATGTCTGAAACAAAACAAATTTTGGCTCCACAGTGAATATTCTTTTTTCATCATATCAATGTTGAGAAGTGTCAAATTTTCAGAAAGCTTGTTATTAACATTGAAAGTAAGACTGACTAATCAGAAGTCGGAGATCACACCAGACAATATAAATATATTAAGCTTCTGTCTTAATAGGACAATTTTCCAATGAGAAGATTGCATACAAGTTATATAAAGCAGTGTGTGTTTTTGTTTTTTTTATATTAAAATGATCCAATGAGAAGCAGAGTGGCCTTTTTGAAGAGGATCAACAGATGTGTATATAACGAGATGCAAAATCAACCAAAACCAGAATCGATTCAGTATAATAAAGAAATAGTATTAAAAACACTTCTCAGTGCTAAAATGTGTTACTGATGCTATACATTCTTTTTTTTTTTTATTATTCATTTTTAAGAAAATGACTTGCTATCTTTAGCTTCATACTCTGTTAAAAAAAAATTGGAGAGGACTGTGAACTGATGAAATCAGAATTAAAATTCCAAAGACAATACATTTTAAAATAAAATAAAAAGTTTCCAAAGATACCTACAAGAAGTTTGATTGGATAAAAAATAGGAGGGAGGAAACAATTTATGCATGTAATGATGTGTCTTATGAAAAAGGCAATAAAATTGATTCTTACCAAACAATCTGATTGCACCATCAACAGCTCCGACAATCAACAGCTGCCCATTATGGTTAAATGCACAGCAGTTTACAGCCAATGGACCAACATCAATTGGTAAGGTTTTCTGAAAGAAACGAGCAAAGAAGATCCAGATAAATACTGGTGCTTCCACATGAAAATAATTCCATGTGTTGCAGGAATCTTTATTCGTGTCTGAAAATTGGTCAATAGTAATAAAAAGCAAAAGGATGAAATAAAAGATTCTGTTGTAAATTCCTTAAAGAGAAGCAGATGAAAACTCGAAGACATTATCAATAAAAATGTTTAAAACAAAGATACAAAAAAAATGACAGTGTATCTCAGACAACACTGACTGACTCAAGAACTTAAAGAATTGACCAAAAATTTACTTTACACATTCAATAAAAGAGAGGTGGGTGAAAAATTTTTACCTTCATCTTTTGTTGTTGGACTAAATATGGCTTGACACAAGGCCATACTCAAAGAATACCTTGTGAGGAATAAACAGCTTGCAAATTCTAGAATCAAGCAACACAAAGTTGCTGAGACTATTAAGTTTTAGCAAACGATAATTCAAAATTAATATCAAATTTATTTTTCTCATTAAAATTTATGAGATATTCCCACATTTAACGAATGATTTTAGATTGGGTTTGATAAAATTTAACAAATTTTGTCTTTTTTTTCTTTAAACATATGACCAACTGGGTACAATAGAATTGTAACAAAAACAAATTAATTAACAGATCACAACTTCTATCAGAGAGATGAAATTTAAATTTTTATTATTGTATTATTCCAAAATTTTAACACATCAGCAAATATCTATTAATGTGAACAACTGAGCAAAAAATAATTTTAATTAAAAAAAAATTAGTAATTAATGTATATTATCCATAACTACAAGAATAATGTACAAGAATGTCGTATTTTAGATAAAAATAAAAAAAAATAAACATACAAATACGTAAAAAAAATACGTATATTGTCGAAAATTCCTTTTCCCACAATATAGCTATTTGTGCTATGTTGTAATTTGACTAAACAATAATAATTCTGAATATTTTTTTTAAACATTAAAGTATATTTAATCATATCGCCCTAATAGCTTTCGCAATCTGTAAAAATAAAATGGCACCAGAAAGGCTTTTAGTAACAATATATTTTATAATAAACTGAATTTGAAACTTTTACATAGTGACTGAAATGCTTTTGTACAAGAAACAATTCTTAGAAAATGCTGAACTGATCAATGTGACACGTTAAAAAAACAAGAAAAAAAAAAGAGTTGCCACAGATATCGCCAAGATATTCCAAATGTTTATTAGGCAAAAAGTTATATACTTATCAAAGCTAATTTGCACTTTTTAATGATTCCAACTTTTCTACAAAACTCATTTATTCTAACATTACAAGTCAGCTTATTACCCACAGATTTTTTAATGATTCTATTCAAATGAAAAAACTATAAGCAATTCCAAAAATATCTAATAATAATATCAAACTTTTGTTCAAGTGAGAATATATTTGATATAATTAATACTTAGCGACTGACAATATTATGCAGCATTATTTGTTTTTGTAGCCAAATGAAAATTTAATAAAGCTGTGTAGAAAGAACAACAATATCATCGTTTCCTGAAATTTTTGAAAATTGAAAATTTTTTTTTTTTTTTGTGACATTACTTAACTTAAATAGACTGGTCCACTCATAAAAGATTAGGAAAATGCATTTTTCATTAAACAAAAAATTTCCACAAATTAATAAAAGTATACATCTATTTATTCTTCATTTAAGATAAATAATAATTATCCCACAATGTTTGTGCATATGCTTCCCAAAATATCCCACTCACCCCAAAAAGTTTATATATATGTGTATATGCACACACAGACAGAGACATCAATGATGTAAGCTTTCAAACTTGACATTTGTATATAAGAACTTTTAGATATCATTTTTAATAGGATACATTATAATGTAAACATGTGTTTTATATGAATGTGGAAAGTGAAATATTGTGTCTACTTTATTGGAGTGGTATGGAAGTGAATCCAGAATACCATCAAGCTATGCTTGTATTTCACTGTATTATTAAAATACTAATGGCATACCGATAAAAATGAGGGATTATGTAGAAATGGATTAATACTTGTGTTGAAAATCAAAGCATCTATGCACACTGTCAAGATTATCAGTTGCTCCCTGAACACTCCACCAAAAATCAATGTAGTGTAACTGTGTCATGATGGCATAGGGACATTAAGTACAGATAAGAGTCGCATCATTCAATTGGCACTGATCACATGATAATCACCATATTTTTGGAAGGAAAGAAAAAACCAGAGGTGCTGTACATTTGTTTAGAAAAGAAGGTTGTTAGGACTTGTACCTAATCTTGATTTCTGGTTAGACAGGATACAAAGTAGGTTGTAACACATAAGTCATCTTTGAATTTCCATGCTATATTGAGATATATTTTTGATTAGCATATGCAACATGAAGCCTTTAGCTTTTTTTCTTTCAGTATTTCATAGTGTTTATAGAGACAGAAATAAATTCACTTTTCAAGCATCAGTTGATTCCTAAAGTTACCAAAATTAGATTGGGAGTGTTAACAGTAGTATCTGTGCACTCAACTAAATTTAGCAGCAGGTAAGTTAATTTAGAAGTATGCTGATATAATGGCTACCAATTACCTACATCACTCAAGACTAATAGATAATCATAACAGGATTCACTTGCAGATTTTATATATTTAGTTGCATTAGCAAATGAGATTCAATGGTTAATTTTTATATCTCTCTTTCAGTGGAAAAGATGATATGGATGGAGTAGAAGAAAAAGTCACATTGTTCATTATTTTATATGATGAAGATTAACGGACAGGATTCAATGGTTAATTTTTGGATCTGTTTGTTTTACGGCAAATATTGTGGACAGAAAGAAACATGGAAAAATCCCACCTATTCATTATTAGAGATGATACAAATAACTTCTTTATTACCTTAAATGCTATATTAATAAGAAATTATGAATTAAAAATAAAATCTATTAATTACTGAGAAATTATATATAACTTTTCTCTACTTTTAAATTGCAAATATATATTGAAGAACTTATCGAGTTTCTGCATATGATAGATAATTTACCTAATTTTATGAAAATCCCACATAGAGAAACATAACTGATAAATGATTTAAGAGAGTGTCAGATTTAAAAATCTGTTAAAGATTGTTTAATTTAATTACAAATTTCTCACATCACAAAAACTTTGTATTTGAAGAATCAGGAGAAAAAAATGTCTTACTTCCATTTTCATAGTTTTAAGATTCCAAACAGACAAACGTCCAATCCTTCCAGTTCCTTGGAGACCTCCATTTCCTCCGGCTCCTACAACCTTGGCTTTGCTGGCTGTTGCAGAACATATGAACTGGTGGGTAGTTGGACTGCAGCACAAACAACGGATTCTGGGGATAATAACATCAAAACAATCAAGTTAGAATAGCAAAGATTCCAAAGTCTCAACTTAGTCTTCTACTCAAAGAATGCCACTATCACAGAAATATTTAATACCAAAGAAGATCTTGGAATCTTTCTCATCAGAGACAGTTCTAACATCCAGCAATTACCATTCTTTTATGAACTAGGTCATTATAGAAAATAACTTCTTTTAAAAGATTACATTTACACTGATATATTCAAAATGGTGTCCTTATTTTGGCTGTTATTGTCACAATATTTTGGCCATTCGATCACTGAAGTTCAGCAATGTTGACCCTGGTCAGTACCTAGATGGGTGATCACTTAAGAATACCAGGTACTGAAAGCTTGGATGTTCAGGTGGTGTCACGGATAACAGCTTGAAATTAAAAGTTCCAATTCCAGTTGGGTTCATTATATCCACTTATGGGCAAATACTCTTGAGAAAGGCATGAACCCACCTCTTCTCACCTCAATTATAGGTTAATTGCCATAATTGGTGGCTGAGAATGTTGTATATTTCCCTCTGGCACTAGTGTTCAAACCCAGGTGAAAGTATTAGAAATGCTGATTTTGAAGGCAGGCACACTATTCTCTCTCAAGTGAAGAGGTCTGATACAATCCTCCTATCTTTGTTTCTCCACTGTCTGAAAAGTATCCAGCCATTTTGAATATCATGAGAACTGGTTGTACAGCCTTGATAAACCTTGACAATCAATCAAAGGGGACCTTATTGCACATGCATTAACAAACATTCTCAAAGTGTCAACAGTAACATGTTTACTGAGTGAGCTTGTGTATTGTGTGTCATATTCAGAGATAAAAATAGTAGGTCAGCAATATGAAAAAATCAGTTATTTGCAAAAAAGATGTGCACTATACATGAAGTAGGCTTATACATGAGTATATACGGTAATCAAAAAAGAAAGATAATAATGTTAGTTCAGATAATTTATGGAATAATGATAAAAAAATTAAGCTGAGAACATACAACACTAGAAAGTCCATTGGCTGAAAGATAATGGTGAAAACAACAAAGATAAGGATGCTAGTTTCAATGATTTATTGATTAATGACAACACTTAGAAATCAAGTCAGTATAGATTTTATGCTTTTTTTCTTGGAAAAAATTGTTATACGTCTGAAATTATGATTTTTTTTTTTTTTCATTTGTTTTCTTATTTAAAATTTCATGAAATTCTAAAGTAAAATGAATTTTGTTCTTTCAGTCTGCTTACCTTGGATAACTTTGATCTGCACAGGCATCCACTACAGACTTTTTATCTTTTACATCAAAGAGACGGATGTTGCCAGAACGATTACCTAACAACAACTGGGGAGAAAAAAGATTTGCTTTTAAATCATTTGTAAAAAAAAAAGAATGAAGTAAATCTGAGTGATTTTTTTTTTTTTTTTTTTTTTTTTTAAAAATCATTTCACACCAAGCAAGACGGGAGTCTCAATAGCACACAAGGAGTTATAGAGAGTAAGAGTAAAGAGGGGTGTTTGAGAAAAGGATAAAGAGAAGGAAAAGGATGAGGATCAAAGCATCAGATGTCGATTGACATTACATTTGGATATTTGAAGATTATAGCTATCATGGAAGCAAGTAAGAGGAAATGAGTTCCACTGTCAGGAAGTGTGAGAGAAGAAGCTGTTGGAGTACAAAATGAAAGAATAAGAGTTGGCTGACAAATTTGATAGGGAAAGTACAGATTAGAATGGATATATGTTAAAAGCACAAATTGTTCCTCATATAATTGTCATTAGATCACAGTTTAAATCCTGAGTGAGTTTTAAATATAAACTGAAATATCTCTGGTGCTTTCAGTCTGACTTTCAGAGATGAGGTGTTATCATTATTTACACGATTTACAAGTGGATCATTGTCCTCATCTTTGTTGTTGTTATCACAACATTTCGGCCATTGTGCCCGCCTGCTTTCATTAGGTGTATGCCAATCCAGGTAACCTATAAGGAATGCCAAAAATTGCCCAACACTCAACAAAATTACATTTATAACTAGTCACAACACATTACATTTCATCTAGACATTAGTTCTGTTGTAATACTTTGGTCTATAGCATGGTATGACATCATAGAATCACATCTTGAATTTACAATCTGTGTCTGCTATTCTGTGACTGTTATTATATAGCAATCTTCTATGTCAACATAACAAAATATCATCTTTGACGGTGGATATCTTTGTTTCATATCAGTATAACCACTCTGAGGATGGCCCATGTGAGCCAAAAGCTTAGGACCAACTTAATAAAAAAAATATCCAAATGTTGGACAATTTTTGTCTTTACTTTCACCAGAAATTAAAGCAAACATTTGAATGTCTCAAGATCAGACATAATAGACATTCATTGTCTGTTATATTTAATAATATATGTTTAAATAATGATCTGCTGCCCCAATACACACATACACACACATGCACATATATATATCTTGGCATAAGAAAAAAAAAATGAAAAAGAAAATGAAGAGTCAATGAAACCAATAATTATTCCATATGAATGTCTGTTAAGCTCAATTAGGAAAAAAATCTCTCTTATATAGGTACCTCTAAAGATTTTCTAAAAAAAGCATAACATGATGAAAAAAGGTCCCAAACTTGAAAAAAGAAAGTTTTATCATGAAGATATTTATGTTATTATTAAGAGGAAAGACCAAAGTATTTTTTTTTCATTATTTTATTAATTTTTTTAATCCTTTCTGGCATGTTTGAAATTTTGGTTAAAAATCTTGTTTTTTCTTGCATCAGCAGGTGGGCCAAAGATTAGTATAGGGATTTTTAGCATCTTTTTGGTGTTAAAAACACTATTTTGGAAATTCTTGCAAAAAATCAAGTAATTGTTAGATTTTAATTAAATTTTTAGGACTTATTCACAAATGAATTAAATTATTTTTGATTTTTTTTTTTTTAGGAAATCTTGGTATATATATATATATATATATATATATATATATAGATAGATATTATTTTTTTTCCATCTGTTACTCCCACTTACTTAATTTTATGAAATTTTGAGAAATTTAAATTTCAGACTCTTCATATTTATATTAATTAACAGCAGGACTCTGTGGAGAATTTAAATCATCAATTTGTTTTTGCCAAACAGAAACGCCATTTACTGAAAATCTGCTCTGAATAGTAAAATAAAAAAATGCAATAAGACTATAACATTATTTAAATTCAATTGCTTTTATAAATAAGATATATTAATGACACTATTGTTTTAAGAAAAAAGTTTTTTTGATGAATAATGAATTTTTACAAGAATTGTTTTCATATTTTTTCTTTTTTAAATTTCATTAGAGAAATTTATTAAATTTTAAACCTTTTAAAATTCTGTATTAATTTCAGCCTTTTAGATGATATTATTAAGTGAAAACTATATTTACTAATCATAAATGGAAAAGCTTAATACAAATCATCAAACACCAATATTTTTAAAAGAATTTTTTTGTATGTATATAAAGGTACCAATTTTTGAAAATGCAAGAAACCATACATAACATTATCAGAAAATAAGAGAAATATTTATAGTAAATTTAAAGACAACATTTCTAAAACTCAATAAAACATTAGATTATGAATTATATTTTCCTAAATTTTTAAGATTTTGGAATACTTAAAAATTATATAAAAAGGACACTCACATCATTTTCTTTAATTATGTTTTACAAATGAAATCTCAGTAGAACAAAATTAGATCTGTCATCAGGCTGTCAATATGTCAAAACAGCTACTGTCAGGTTTAAAAATGCATTTCGGCAATATTTTAAACTTAAAGTAAATAACATGTTTCAAATCAAATTAATTCTACTTTAAACCAGCTAATATTCCTCAAATAAAGTTTCAGAAAAGTATATTTTATTTTTGGAAAATTTTTTCAATAAAAGAGAATTACATTGTGATGAAAGACAACCAAAAAGGATGCTAATCAGCTATTTTAGCAAAAACAAAAACTTCCAGTGAATTTAAATTAATTTAAAAATAGTTTTTGAAATATGGCAAAGTATTTGGCTTATTAAAAATATTAAATTTAATCTATTAGCTTGAAAATAATTCTAGAATAAAAGTTTCAAGATTTTTATTTTTTAAAATTCATTTTAAACCTAAGGTATCACATTTTTGTGGAAGTTCCTACTTTTATAAAGTCAAAACAACTCCTTTTCTCAAGTGCAATATGCTTGATTCTATGTCTTTATCTAAATCAGGGCTCAAGATGAATTACATTAAATTGGGGTCAAAATGAAATCTTTGACATTAATGAGAGATAATTACAGATAAAGTTTACTTTAGGACACACAAGATTACAATCAATTTTTATATGTAAGCATTCCTTATATGTACATTAAATGTGGCTGTTGCCCTATGGCTAAATCAGAAAAATGTGGATGTGGAAAAAAGTTCTTTGAAGTATTTTGGTTATTTCAAAACATAATTTTAATTTAGGTCCATGCAAATATTTTAATTGATCTTTTTTATTTTACAGCTGAAACAGAAAAAATAAACATTGTAAATGTTAAAAAAAAGTCACAATATTTTCCCTCATCATTTGGTTTTTCATTGATGAACAGAAAAGAAGTGAACATAAAAACAGTGTTATTGTCACTCAATAAATAATGACAAATATTTTCATGTTCAGTTTTTTCAGAAATCAAATTTAAAATACTGAGGTTGGGTATCTAAAAGTGAACTGAACTGAAATAGGAATCAACCACCTCTGTCACCCTCTTACCAAATATAAAAATAACATGAAACTGTCTAACCAATACTCACTGTCCACTACTTAACATTACCAAACTTATGTTTAATAAATTTAGCACAAACTTGTAATAAAAGTAGTAGAGTACCTATTTACTGTTATAATAAAAGTAGTAAAGTACCTATCAGGATGACCATTGGAGTGTAATGAATATCAGCTTGGAATGAGAAATCAAAGAGCCAAGTGAAAATTCCAATCGGGTTTGTTACATTCACTTACATGCAAATACTTTTGGGAAAAGTATAGATCCATTGCTTCTACTCCCCCAGCTATCGGTTAAATAGCAGGAGAGACTAGTTCCTATAGCCTTGGTTGGCAACCAGTCTACTGCAGATAGAAGAGCAACCTACTGCAGGGAAAGTCTTCTACCTAATCAGTGATGAATCAAATGAGACATGATCAGCCAAGAGTGTATCACATATGGCAAATAACTGATAGTACCTATCAGAAATGTTAGCATTATTTACATATGGATCAGCACTTTTGCATTAGATTACAGTATCTGTGCTCTTTGCTTGAAGATCAAAGTTTCATTTGAAAGTACTCTGCTAAAGATCAGAATGTAGTATCTGTGCTCACTGTGAAATATTTTAAACACACACTATAAGAGTAACAGAAAAATCTCTAAAAGAAAGGTATTATAACCATAAAGTATGTTGAAAGAAAAAAATATGGCAATAACACAATTCTATCAAAATATATATGGGAACAAAAAGAGAAATATTTCCATCAACATTAAATAGCAAATAAAAAATGGCACCACCATGTAACACTAAAACTGCAGACTAAGCTTAGAAGAAAAATTACAAATTTGGGAAAAGTCTATATCTTCTATTTTCATATTTGCTGTGACATGGGGTCTGACAAGATGCAACACTTGTCAGAGTCAGTTCTGATAGTATTATTCAATACTCATTGAGACAAGTCACTGCAATAGTATTATCTTCCTAGATAATTACCCAAGCTTACATATCATCAATGGATCAGTTCATTCATGATAGTAAGGAGGGTAACTGGTTCTTTACTACAACATCTCCCCTTTTGAGACTTACTACCTATACTTTTTCATCTTTAGGTTAAGATCCAACAATTTTATAAGCTGTCTTTTTCTTTTACAGGAGCATGTGGTTTCTGGAACTATCTGGGACGTAGGTACATCGAAAATGTCATATAAAACTACCATTGATGCTCTGTTCTTCCAAGTACCTTTTTCTTATTTGATTTAGATGTTTTTTATGTAGCCAGGTAAATCCTTTTATCATGTACAATAACTTTCCGATATGTCTCTCAATTACTCCATCGTCCCAATTTTGTAAGTTCAAAGGAATACTTTTTCACTGTGTTTGAAATATTTCTGAGTATCAGATTTTTTCTTGTTTTCAACCATTTTTTTTTATTATTATTCAGCAGCAATTTGTTAAACACTGATCTAATTTTCCTTGCAAACATTAATTCTGCCAGGAACATAGCTGATACCATGTTAGGATTAGGTGTCGAAATACATGTAAAAACTGCTGTGATAATATATCTTTAGTTTCACCACCAT